TACTCCAATTGAAACTTGTCATATCATTCGATAAGTAAATTATTGTAATATTTCTTAGTAGAGCTAGCATTTACGAAAAGTAGGAGGAAGAAGGAAGAAAGAAAGAAAAGCTCCGGGGAAAGTCGCTTACCGGAGTAATAGCAATCGCACACCGCCCCTAGGTATCTAAAACCTAGGAAATTGATTGTGCAATAGTGTTGTTTCCCCTTTTTCCGTCATTTTGTGAGGAGGTAAAGAAATTGATTCATATTATAATAACAAAGATAGGAAATTCTTTGACCTTAATCTCAACATTCTTTTGTGATTAAAGGTGAATATTGAATGAGCCGAGCTGGGTCACGCCTATCTTGCCTAAGCCCACCCGCAAATAAAGTTTACATATGGCAAGAACAGGCTAATTAAAGTTGGGCGGGTAGGACTTTCTCATGTAAGAGCACCTCATATAAGAGCCACGCCTAGGGTTGCATACCTTTCGAGCCTAGGCACTGAGCAAGCTGTTCGCCCGTTAATCCCCTTTACATGCGAGTAACTTATAGTTTGCCAACACTTTGACACTCTTTTCACGTACAAATAGACAGTGTTAGAAATATATTTCTAACGAAATCATGATATAAAAGATACTCAGAATCGGATAAAATATTTCTAACAGATAGGGATCACAATTATTATGTGGTGTTTTTAGAAAGTGCATATTTGACATTTAAAAGTATGGTTTCACTGAGAATTTCAAATCTTTTCAATTAAACCTGAACTTTTTATTCACGCTAGTTGGCTAATTTGTAAAATTAATGTCACGCCCCGAACCCCATCGAGCACGCGGCATCCCTTACTCAGGTCGAATCAGTGCGACGTCCCAGGAAAATCGTCGCCGACCCAAAAATTCCATCAGAGTAAATTCGCGGCGAAAACAAATCATATTATATATCCCGGACAATAATATTGGAGAACCAGGAAGAAGCAAACTACTAAACCACCGAACAGAATACTATACCCCGATATATATATATATATACAACATCCAATTCTTTACAACCAAATACTTCCAACACTCCTCAGATTTATATCAACTGATAGTACACACCCGAACGGATTTCCTGATTACACCACCAACTATTCACATCAAACACTCACTAATTTAATATCAAACTTATAATACACGCACACCAACTGGCTTCTACGGATCGCGTCCTCGACCTCAAAAGGGATTTGCAGCCAAGGAATATTCTACTCCTGAATGCTCGGTGTGCATCGGGATTCCCAAAACGCTGCGGCGGTAGCGGCGGAAGGTTCAAGGCTCGGGCGGGTGCTCTGAAATGGTTTGGTTGAAACAACCATGGGACACTTCTCAATAAGTCACAACCTAAACCCTACCTAGGCTACCACGTATTCCAGACATATCCAGACACAACCAAGCAATAAACACAAACATCATCATCCACACGATCATACTAACCTGGACTCTTGGCATAAACAGTAGTCCGCAATCATAACAAACAATTCTCACACGCATCTCAACCACACGCACTATAAATCACTCGCATTCTCAAGCCCACGTACACATCGAACACACCACATTTCCAATCCCACATTTCACACTCGGTCACGCACCAATCACATCATTTTCATTAACTTGCCATTGCGACCCGCGTAAACACGCCTCAGGCCCGATCTCACTTTCCTCGGCCCGCGTAAACACGCCTCAGGCTCACACGATCGCGCCCTGAGCATCACACGCCTCGGTCCGATCCCATTCCTCAGCCCGCGCCAAATGCGACAGGCCTACGTGACCGAAACCCGAGCTTACAATGCCTCGGTCCGATCCCTGTCTCACCAGAGCTGATCATGCCTCAAACCGATTTCCACTTTCTTCAGCCTGCGCCAAATGCGACAGGCCTACATGATCGCGACCCGAGCTTATAATACTCGGCCCGATCCCATAGTCGTATCACGACCCGCGTAAACACGCCTCAGGCCGGTTCAATTCCCCGCATAAACACGCCTCAGGGATTTAGTGATCACACGTACACACCAACATACCAGATTTTATCTGAACCCCGCGTAAACACGCCTCAGGGCCTTTTAGTGATCACACGCACGTCGCACATCACAAGTCTCACACGTGCACACACTCGAGCATCAAATAGGCGCACTCAAACGCGCCCAAGTCAAACACTCCAATCCAGTCACACCACAACATACAACCAACACCCAAATCGGCATTTTTCACACTCAAAACGACCATATTTCAATCCCAGTCCTTCACGACACTTTCATGAAATTCCGAGCCGGATCTAATGGGGCAAACCACACGCCCAACAGCACATCACAGCACTTAGAACAGCAAATCACAGCCATCGATCGGCCTCTAAAATTCCACCAAAATTTCCCAATTTCCATCCTAAGGCCCGATACTCCAATCAACCCCTAAACTACACCCGATCGCGTCTAAACGGGTCCGATAATACCCGATAAACTAGGCGAGGGTTAGATCGCGACTTACCGAGCTCTAAACTAACACGGTTAGAGCGAAAGCGGCAGCAAAACCAAGATCTAACGGCGGCTTGCAGCGGCGGTGACGATCGGCGATGATCGGGAGGAACGGCGGGCGACGGTGACTTGGGCGGCGGCTGGTGGGACTCTCGGCCGAGAGAGGGAGACCGAGAGGGAGAGAGAGAATCACAGTGGGGTGAGGGTGGCGTGAGGCTCGGCGGATGGGCGGTGCGGCGGCGCGGCACGGCGGCGGTCCGGACGGCGGCGCGGCGGCGACACGGCGGGAGGGGGAGCTCACAGTAGAAGGGGGAGAGAAGAGGGAGAGAGGGAGCCGTGGGGGAGGGGAAATGAGTGAGGAGAGAGAGAAATTTGACTTAAATAGTCAAATTTTGACCAACTTGGCAAATTACCAAAATGCCCCTCTCTAATCTTTTCATCCGACGGTCCAGATTCGATCTTATCTTGAGATCAACGGCCCAGATCGAATCTTATCTAAAATATCCAAGGGCAATCTTATAATTTCTTAAAAAGTCCAAGGGCAAAATTATCTTTTCCAAATTTGACGGCAAAATGACCAAAATGCCATTTGCCCATAAAACTAACCCTTTATTAATTCCCAAGGGTAAAATGGTCACTTTCTCCGTTTCTCGCCGAAATCGAACTTTTTTGAAAATTCTGAAGAAATCCCGAGTTGCACGTTCCTACCGTGACTTTCCTAATTTTCTGATGCCCGATTTGGTCTCTAATCAATAATCGAATTATATATATAACGTAACTTGAGCGTTTCTCAAACTAACGGGTGGCTTTTGGGGAATTTCGTTTATACGACCCGTGACTGATACTAAATCGAGTCACGTGCAATTTATTTAGACCGTAACGACTTCGGTTGTCAATAAAATCACGAGGATCAATCACTAGTTCCGATGAGTACGATCGTTCGGAATAAGTTCGGGATCGTTCGTCAATTCATTTCGGGGTCAAACGGAATCACCCGTGATCCACGTGTATGATAATGACGAATCGGCCCATCACTATCCTAAGATCGGCCTACACTGGCTCAAAATGTCACCTCGATAATTTTATGGTCAAAATTCAGTTCACGGTCGAATTCCTCTAGTCGTACGAATTTAAATCCCTAATTAGCCTTTCCCTATAGGTTAGTATCCCAGGAATGATCAGTTCCGGGAGAAAACTAGCTACAAGTACATTAATAAAATAATTCATTTCATAAATCCCAAATGAGCGAAATTTCAGAATGTCACAATTAATGTGAAAGAATATTCATCAATGTTAAAAAAGATCAACAAAACAACTTGAAAAGTTTCAAGTAAAGAGTCCTTTCCTGACCGGGAGCCTCTTTTCCACATAAACTTATTAGAAGATTTTCCGATTCTACCATAAACTTCCACATTGATTATTGATTAATTACCAACAAAGCACCACCATGAGCATTGACCTAACCCTAAAGTTCATCGAATATATAGAATTTAGCTATATAAGTACCTTTGTCAATATAAAATGCCGTGGTAAACTCCAAACAAGAAAGAAAAGGCTAGACACAAGCCAAAACGAGAAAAAAAAATGAGAAGGCCACGTAGGGACTATGATATGGGCAAAAGTAGGCCGTCTCACGAAGATTAAGGGCACAAACGTTGCCAATCTATCGTAATCGGCTCAAAACTTCATTTTAACTATGATAAGTCTAATGTCAATAAAAAAGAATATAAGCTGTTCTTCTTTGATAAAAAAAAGAACATAAGTGATGATTATCAATTTATGATTATAATCGCGTTCCCTTAGCTTTTTAGATTATGCATTACGAATCCATAAGAAATACTTTAGTTTTTAGAGATTCTAAAGTAGTAGTGCGAGGATACATCATTTGCTAACTAAGTAAAGCACAAGTCATACAATAAAAGGTTGAACCATACAAAGAGTCTTGGCCAAAACAAGACAATATTAGGATGCTGTTCGCCATACTGTTCGTAGGAACAACTATAGAAGGAAGGCTGACTGATGTTCTCGGCTCACCAGGAGCCGCACAGGCTATTCCACAGCCAATAATCTATTTGCCAGTGACAATTATAAATACCATACAATATTACGTTAATTGATCAAAAACACACACTTCAAAGACTACATATACTCAACCATGAATGAATAATACTCTTTTTTTCTCCCTCTTGTTCCTAATCTACAGAGTTGTCACCTATCTAATTTGTTTCACGATATGAAACTGCTGGGCAGAACTGAAAAGTTTCGAATTGCTGGGTACGATTGAAAAGTTGAGGAGAATTCTTAGTTCAACTTGTTCGTTTTCATCCGATTTCATATATTTTAGTAGTAAAAAGAACACAAATAGAGAGAGAGAGAACGAGAAAAAGAAGGGCAAAGATCCAAACTAAATTCTAGTCCTATAGAATTGCTGGGGTAGAACTGAAATGTTTTGAAAGCTCAGAATTGAACTGAAATACTTCAAAGTTCGGGGAGCAATGGGCAAGAACAGTTGGCGTCGTTAAAAAGAGGCGGTGACAGTTGAACAAAATGCAAGTACAACTCCAAACTCAGCAACGAGAATCAACTTTCGGTTACTCTCAGTCACTTCGTCTTCTCCAGGTCTTTCTCTGTCCTTCCACATATATTTGCTGCAAGTTCTTGGTTCAATGGCTATCGTATAAAATCATCGTGCATTATTTTGATTCTTTCGTTATGTTTGATTGCAGAAAGTGGTTTTCACATTACAATCATGGCGGCCCCAGATCCAAACGCTCGGCCAACGGAAGGCAAAAGATATCCTGAGGATAAAGTTGACAAGGCACAAGTTTTACTATATTTCGGATTAATCTTTCACACTGCATTGCATCAAGATTGCCGAATTTCTTCGAATTGAAAGGGTCTTTAATTGCATTGCGTTTCCTTTTTCCCTAGGCCCACAATTTCATAGAGAAGTGCATTCAGCTGTACATGAACCGCGAGGAAACAGCCCGCGCGTTAGAAATTCATTTCAGGATTGACAGCCATCTCACACGTATGGGTGAGAGATCATTCTTTTTTGGTCTGATCAGTGATTAATCCTAAGAGCTAGTCCGGTTGAGTATTCTGAATGATTCGGTCCTGTTTACCCGCCGTTTCTTGTATGGGTTATATCTTGATGCGAAGCTTCTGAACTTATCCTTCGAATTCCAGTTTGGGACAAATTGGAAGAAAGTAATCAGGAGTTTTTCCAAAATTACTACACAAGGCTAGCGCTGATACAACAAATCGTCAGGTTCAATCAATTGCTCGAGCAACAGCATCAAGCCATGAACTCTCCTCCAGTGCCTGGTAAGGCTCTCGTAAGACTTCACTCCACTAATACAGAATTTCACGGTTCCAATGCATAGCTTCTATCCTTCGTACTATATGGGTTCATGCATAGTTTGGTCAACTTCCCGAACAAGAAAAAAGGCCCATCAGTCTCAGTTCTTGCACTATATAATAAAAATGAAAGCAAGTTAATGCTCTCTCAAGAATTACTATAAAATTGGGTCTTGTCGAGTGCTCTTTTAAGCAAGGCCATCTGTTTATGATTGTTTGCTTCTTGAAGTTGTTTTGTGTAGACCTTGAAGTTGAGCCTATGAATTTCGATGCCCATTAGAGGGGTCTGGCTGTCTGTACTTTGTGCACTTCATTATGTGATGTTTCAATTGTTCTTGCCCTCCTTCCATGGTGCAGCAGAGGAACAAATGTCAATGGAAGTCTCAGAGACAGCACCACAGAAAAATTCTCCAGAGAGCGAGATGAACTATGAAAATGAGTAAGGAACACAATTCTTGGAATGTTTCCGTATCTAGTCTCTCTGAGACAATTTTTTTGGTACATCTTCTAGAATTAATTTTTACCTTTTTCTCCATTGCATTGAACACTCTGGTGATTAGCTTACCTATTCGTCTCAATCTGAATGCTACTTACCTACTTTATAGGATTCTTAAATTTAAATTACCTGCTTGTGCTCATTATTTAGCTTTGCAAATTCTGTCATCTGCACTAGTTTACATGCATCATTCGAAAGTGCAAGTGGCTTTGTTGGCTTATGGCATGAGGCGTGGCATAATTTCGTTTGCCTCGTCAAGTCTGGCTTCAGAGGACATGAATATTCTTTTGATAGGAATTGTATGTATAGATGGTAGTAAATGCTACTGCTGATGAAACATATTGCCGGAAACAACATGATAGTCAGGGTGCAGATTCTTGTCGAACACCTTGATTTCAGCTTCAAGTTGTGATCGTAACTCGTGCTCACACTTGTGGTTTAAAAATTGATGATGAGCAGGGTTGAATCTGACAAGCTACCTGCCACTCCTGTTGGCTCTGTTGGATCAGAAGAGGTGGCAGGGTCCACTCCACATCTCGTGGCGGGTGGAAGTCTTGCTCGTTCTTCATTGGAAGCTCAAGGAATGAGAATAAATGCTGCATTAGATGCTGCACATATGCCAATTTCGCAAGTTCCGAACTTACTGCAGGTGGCCACCAAGCTGCAAACTTCTGGGGACCTTTTCAACCATCAACTAATGGCTCGAAGCTTGAGCCACCTGGATATAAAGGCTGAAGGTATTCGTGATATTTAACTCTGTCTAGCTGGTTATTCCGCATCATCACTCTTACCTGGTTTGGAGTTTCAATTGAATGTTACCTGCAAAGATTTGGCTGGGCATATTACTTGTCAGCATACTTGCATAGACATGGTGGTTTTGTTCGTTTAACCATCAGTGCATTCAACCAATGGTGCATCAAATCTCATAAAAGCTTGTACATACATGCACGATTTGCGATTTATAGAATTGAGACATTCCCAAGTTAGCTTTTGGCAGCTATTTCATTCCATTTTGTGTCTCCAAACCCAGATTGAGTCATTGAAACCCTTCAAGTTTTGACTGTGTACTAGGAAGGTCCTTTCTTCTTTATCTGTTTCTACCTACTTTAAAAAAGATGTGAAGCAAATGAAACGACTGTGCTGAAATGCTTATTGTTTTTGTAATTGGTGAGACGATCCAAATTTCAAGAGTAGCTTGTGCTGTTCTATGTATTCTTAGTCCTGATGAACAAGGTTTTTGCAGCTTCCGTCCAGGAGAACCTCTCTAATTCGGCATCAGGTCAGGACTCTCCATCTGAGGATGTCTGAGTGAAATGGATATTGCCCGTTCCTTATCAAAATTAGTGTCCGGTGGAAGGTTTGTTTAGAATATGATGCTTGTTTGGACGAATGTGAGACAGCATCTCGTGTCTCATCATTGAGTGAACACACAAGTTCTCATTACATTCAGGGATTGAGCATTTGTAATTGTACATCATCTTTTATGCTTTGATATGATGTGTAAATTTGGTGGACCTGTTAAGTAGAGAGGATTTGAATTACTTAAGACGATCACCTTCTATTTTGTCCTTAAAATCAAAGTGTAAGATGTCAAATTTGAGTTTGTGTTTGTCGGTCGTTATGATGGTTAAGCTAATTTATGATGTTTAGGCTTCTGTGCTGACAATCTTATTCAATAGTAAACCTAAACTAAAATAGTGAGTTACTAACTAATATAGCTACATGGGATACAATCATACAATGTGCATGGACTGGAATAGAACAGAACATCGATATCTAGTATCCCGAAAACTGCATGCTCCAGGAAATCTCAAAGCAAAAGCGTGACAAATTGTGAGATCCATCTGAGGTCTTGTTCTTGGTATATTGACAGTAGGAGTACCAAATCCATATACATTTCAGGAAATGATATTTACCTTGTTGAGCTTGCACGTAGCATAATACAATCTCAGTTCAAATAACATAGGTATAAGTGGGAAAATCTAAAACAGGGATTTGATGCACATGAATGAATGAGACAATTTAAGAAGCATCATCGCCAGTAGTCATTGCATGTTGCATCCCTTATGGAGATATACTTGATGGTAGAAAGAATCTCCGCAAACGCAAAGATTTTTAAATACCCTGATAGATCTTGGACTGGAGGAGTTGCTTATAAGGCCAAAAACAAGGGCAGTTTATTCACTGAGATGGAGCAACTATTGTTCCTTTTGTGCCACCTCTACACCATTAAGATTAAATTCGGTATTCGGGGCATAACCGGTTTTTCTTTATTCGACTAACCCATGGGTCCAATTCGTCATTGATCTCTCGAGGTTAGGGTGTGATATAGAATTTTTGAACTATAATTTTCACTTGAATCCAGCTACAACCGGCTTCTTTGGTAAGATTTTTCAGTTTCCATCTTCTGTCTGATTGCAGCTGCATCTTCCCATAGACCTGTTGAGGCATACACATTTGCTAGCAAAATACAACCTTCAGGTAGGGTCATCCAGTTCCTGGTAAAAATTCATTGATGCAACTTATTTTGCAAGTTCAACATTGCGTGAACTTGGCAAGCTCCAAGAAATGTACGCTAGACCAGTGTATAAACCCGGAAGGCATTGAATTTATAAACTGACGGGTTACGACATCAGATTCTGATTTGCGCGATAAGTCCACCATGCATGCTTGGCGTTCAATTCTGGGCACGAATCCATGTTCTGTGTACATTAAAGTGTTTCCATCCATCAGAAATACCACATGGCTACAAGAGGATAAAACAGCAACATGGTTATCATAAGAAATCAAATTCTTTTCGAATAGTGCACCAAAAACCCTCTGAGCATCTTCGATGTGACTCGACCAAGAATACATGCTAATAAGAGAACTACCCACGCAAGTATCACGGCAAAGCCTAATTTGATTGCTAGAGTGTAGATTTTTATCCCCATATCTACATCACAAATACTTTCACATGCCTTGAGAACAATAAAATTCTGAAAGGGTCTGGCCTGACTGGACCTTTTTCATTTCCCAGGAGAGTTTGATAGCCTCCTCATTCTCCAGTTTGTGCATATCCTGTGATTATCGCTGTCCAAGATCTCACATTATGATCTTGCATCCGATCAAATACCTTTCTCAAATCATGAAGCGATCTCCTAGCTACAAACTTCACGTACATAGCTACCAAGCTGCATCAGACACGGACATTTGAAGCCAATCTAGACCGTATAATACTCCTTCAACCACCCCCAGCGTGGCAACTTGGCTGCTGGCACCACACTCAAGCACCAGCACCTTGGCCCCCAAAACCAGCTGCTGCCTTTATCACCATCACCATCACCATCGCCTCTCTCTCTCTCTCTCTCTCTCTCTCTCTCTCTCACGACTTCCAATGGAGGTCGTGCGACTCCAATCTAAGTTTGCACTAATCCGTTAAAGGTCAGTTAGAGAGAACAAGCTCGAGTTTGCAAAACTCCACCTCTTGGGATTGGGCTGCGCATGGAGAGTCGACACCGCAGATGATGGTGGTGGACATGGCAGGACGACTCCACTGACGTTACTGGTGGTGATGGCCAGCAACAATGGAGCGGTCAGCACTAAAGAAGAGAGAACGAAAGGAGCAGAGAAAAAGAAATAGTCTTACTTTTTCAGAAACCACTCTAAATTGAGTTACTCCATAATATCAATGATGTATAATTCTTTCTCAGTTAAGCAAAATATCAATGATTTGAACGGAAGACCACGTTGAACAGAATTTGAAAAGTACAAGGATTAAGTTAGCAAAAAAGAAAATTTAGGGACAACATCCAACGTGAAAAAAAAATCCAGAAATTACTTATTTTGTTACCTTTTTTCCGTGGTTTGGTGGGGGAGGGGAGCTATTCCTCTCTAATGATAACTGAGAGGTATTCTTCATGTTAGTAATTTAAAGGGGTAGACCACAATAAATCTCTTTCTTTATAGGATAGAATAGACATAATTGATAATAGTTATTCCTCTAGTGATCATTGCTGGGTATTCTCAAGATAATTTCCAAATAATAGCATCAAAGTTTCTTATGACTGAAATCAATTAAAATTCCAAATCTTTCTCGTTCCACGATCAAATGATTTTCCGAATATGATTTAGTTCCCATTTGTCCAAGATTAAGTAATCCCGCCAAAAATTTTATAATACTATTTAAATTTTAGAATCTTTGGAAAAAATATTATATTCGAGTTTACCTGCCAATATTTATATATTATGAAAGTTTTGAATATTTCGGGTTGAAAAATTCAAAGTGAGTCTGTTGCAAAATTTAGATTGAATGAAAAGTAAAAGTTTATTTAGACACGCTCCTATTTTGGTCAACCTTTTTTTTTTCTATTGATAATGTTTCCACTTATTTTCAAACATGCGTTTGTACTGTTTTGCTAGAGACTTTGAAATAGATGCAACTAACGATAATAATAGCGATTCAAATCCAATGGAGATCCGGTTTCATCATCATTTTGACAAGTCATTGAGGGGCACAAAACAACGCTAGAAATCATCATTTGAAAAGCATACTATCGAATCAAATATCATTTTGAATGCCATCATCCTATGGAAAGGCTTACATTCGGTGCCAACAGGCATCATTTTTTAAGATTGTTTAAAAGGCACACATTCGACTCTAGAAATCATCATTTGAGAGTTTGGAAGTTACACGTTCCGCATCGAAACTATTTTTCAATAGTCAGTCATTTGAAAGGTGTGTTTTGAATGCTATAAGAATTATCATTCTGAAGATCATCAAATCAAATAATTATAATTAATCACATTGATCATTGACTCATCGTTCGAATTATCATACAGTTGCATCAATCATCAAATAGCTCATTCAATCATTAACCAAGTCATGAACAGTGCAGGCAATTATTATGAAAGTATATCATTTATAATTATCATACTGTATTAAATAAATATTTAAATAATAACATAAAAGCATGATTATGATAATTAACCATAAATATAATAAACACGAATCATTCTTTGATAATGTTGATTTACTTTTAACGTTATTGCAAATGCAGTCTCTGAGAGTCATAATCAACTACAAAAGGGGGCTGTCTTGCGTAAAATAAGGCAAAAACCTTACCAATCTATCATAATTGGCTAAAATGTTCATTTAAACTAGGGTTGATGCCATGAAAAATCCAAAACTAGTACACCTGTGACAAATTTATCTCAAACTAATTTTTTGATCACGAAAAACCCTAAACTGGTATACTTGCAACAAATTTACCCCAAAAACCCCAAACTGGTATATTTGTGACAAATTTACCATCCGTTAAAATTGAATTAATACCACAAAAATCACAAATTGGTACACCTGGCAAATGGAGGGTAAAATCCCAAACTGGTATACACGTCAACTGCCACATGTCATCCAACTCAAAAATTTGACAGTAAAATTTAACGGAAACAAATGGAGGGTAAATTTATCACAGGTGTACCAGTTTGGGGTAAATTTGTCACAAGTGTATCAGTTTGAGGTTTTTCATGATATTAACCCTTTAAACTATGATAAGTCTAATGTCCGTAAAAAAAAATATAACCCTCTTCTTTGATAAAAAAAAAAAAAAAAAGAACATAGGTGATGATTATCGATTTATGATTATAATCCCGTTCCCTTTGCTTTTCAGGTTTATGCATTTCTGTTTCATAAGAAATATTTTAGTTTCTAGAGCTGCTGAAATAGTAGTGCGAGTATACTTAATATTATTACATTATGTACTATAAAAGGTTGAACCATTCAAAGAGCCTTGGCTATAACAAAATAATATTACATTAATTGATCAACAACACACTTCAAATAATACTCTTTTTTCTTCCCCTTATTCCTAATTTACGAGTTGTCACTCATCTAATCTGTTTCACAATATAAACTGCTGGGCACAACTGAAAATTTTCGAATTGCTGGGGTAGAACTGAAAAGTTCATGAGAATTCTTCATTTAACTTGCTCGTTTTCATCCGATTTCAAACATTCTAGTAGTAAAGAGAACACAAACGGAGGGAAAGAGAAAAAGAAGGGCCAAGATCGAAACTAAACTCTAGTACCATAGAATTGCTGGAGTAGAACTGAAAAGTTTTGAAAGCTTAGGGTTGAACTGAAATAATTCAAAGTTCGGGGAGCAATTGGCAAAAACAGTTGGCGTCGTTAAAAAGAGGCGGTGACAGTTGAACAAAATGCTAGTCCATCTCCAAACTCCGCAACGAGAATCAACTTTCGGTTACTCTTAGTCACTTCGTCTTCGCCAGGTCTTTCTCTGTCCTTTCACATATTTTTGCTCCAAGTTCCTGGTTCAATGGCTATCGTATGAAATCATCGTGCATTATTTTAATTCTTTCGTTATGTTTGATTGCAGAAAGTGGTTTTCACAATAGAATCATGGCGGCCCCGGATCCAAACGCTCGGCCAACCGAAGGCAAAAGATATCCTGAGGATGAAGTCGAAGAGGCACAAGTTTTATTATATTTCGAATTAATCTCTCACACTACATTGCATAAAGATCGCCAAGTTTCTTCGAATTAAAGGGTCTTTAATCGCATCGCGTGTTCTTTTTCTGTAGGCCCACAATTTGATAGAGAAGTGCATTCAGCTGTACATGGACCGTGACGAAACAGCCCGTGCGTTAGAAATTCATTTCGGGATCGTCCGCCAGCTCACACGTCTCAGTGAGAGATCATCTTTTTTGGTCTGATCAGTGATTAATGCTAAGAACTAGTCCGGTTGAGTATTCTGAATGATTCGGTCCTGTTTACCCACCGTTTCTTGGATGGGTTATATCTTGATGCGAAGCTTCTGAACTTGTCCTTCGAATTCCAGTTTGGGACAAATTGGAAGAATGTAATCAGGAGTTTTTCCAAAGTTACTACACAAGGCTAGCCTTGAAACAACAGATCGTCAGGTTCAATGAATTGCTCGAGCAACAGCATCAAGCCATGAATTCTCCTCTGGTGCCTGGTAATGCTCTCATAAGACTGCACTTCATCAATGCATAACTTCACGGTTCAAATGCATAGCTTCTATCCTTCATAGCATATGGTATCATGTATACTCTGGTCAACTCCCGAACAAGAGTAAAAGCCCATCGAACTCGGTTCTTACACTATATCATAAAAGCGAAAGCTAGTTGCACTCTCAAGATGACTGTAAAAACTTGGGTATTGTCGAGTGCTCATCTAAGCGTGCCCATCTGTTCATGATTGTTTGCTTCTTGAAGACGTTTTGTGTAGACCTTGAAGTTCAACCTATGAATTTCGCCTCCCATTAGATGGCTCTTTGTTGCACTTTGAACACTTTGTTTAGTGAGGTATTAATTGTTCTTGCCCTCCTTTCATGGTGCAGCGGAGCAACAAATGTCAATGGAACCGGCAGAGACAGCTCCACGGGCTAATTCTCCAGTGAGCAAGACGAGCAATGAGAATGAGTAAGAAACTCAATTCTTGCGTTGTTTCCTTATCTCGTCTCTTCGGGAAAATTTATTTGGTACATCTTCTACAATTTCTTTTACCTTTTTCTCCACTGTGTCGAACACACTGATGATTAGCTTAACTATTTATCTCAATCTGAATCCTACTTACCTACTTTATAGGATTCTTCAATCAAATTACCTGCGTGTGCCCATTATTTAACTATGCAAATTCTGTTATCCGCACTGGTTTAAATTCATGCATCGTTGGGGACTGCAAGTCGCTTTGTCAGCTTATGGCACGAGGTGTGGCACAATTTCAGTTGCCTAGTCAAGTCTTGCTTCACAGGACATGAATATTCTTTTGATACGAATTGTATGTTGATGATCCTAAATGCTATCACGGATAAAACCCATTGGCAGAAACAACATGATAGTCACGGTGCGCATTCTTGTCAAACATTTTGCTTTTCAAGTTGTGATGCTGACTCGTGCTTATGCTTGTGGTTGAAAAATGATGATGAGCAGAGCTGAATCTAACAAGCTACCTGCAAATCCTGTCGGCATTGTCGGATCAGAAGATGTGGTGGGTTCCGACCCAAATCTCATGCCCAGCGGTAGTCTTGCTTGGTCTTCATTGGAAAATGCTGCATTAGACACTGCACATATGTCAATTTCGCAAGTCCCGAACCTTATCGCAGGTGACCACCACACTGCAAACTTCAGGGGACCTGTTCAATCATCATCCTCAGGGTTTGTGCCACTTGGACTCAAACCCTGAAGGTATTCATGATATTTAATGTTGAGCAAGATATTGCGTGTCGTCGCTCTTAGTTTGGAGCTTGGATTGGTGAATCTTTCCAGCAAAGGTTTGGCTGGGCATATTACTAGTCAGCATACTTGCATAGACATGGTGGTTTTGTTCGTTTGACACCAGGGCATTCAACTAATGGTGCATCAGATCTGATAAAAGCTAGCAATATGACACTAATCTATGTTTCAATTAGTACATCTCCTAGTACATACAGACACAATTTGCCATTTACAGAATTGAGACATCAAGTCAGCTTTCGGCAGCGACTTCATTCCATTTTGTTTTCTCCTAACAGAGATTCTTTTGGAGTCAATGAAAGCATTCAGTTTTTGACTTTGTTGTTTGTACTAGGAAGGTCATCTATGCTTTATCTGTTCCTACGCACTTTAAAAACCATTTGAAGCAATTGAAAATAGCATTCAAATTTGGAAATTGTTTTTGTAATTGGTGAGACGACCCAAGTTTCAAGAGCAGCGTGTGCTTTTGCTGCTTTTCAAGAAGTTGTGATAAACGAGTTTTTTTGGCAGCTTCCAAACAGAAGGACCTTGCTAATTCGGCATCAGGTCAGGGCTCTCTGTCTACGGATCTCTGAGTGAAGTGGTAGCATGCGTCCCTTATCAAGATCAGTGACTGGTGGAATGTTTGCTTAGTAGGGAAACTCATGCAGAGGGGACAATAGTGAGGACTACGATGCTTGTTTGGAAGAATGTAAGACACCATCTTTTTGTCTCATCATTGGGTGAACAAACAAGTTCTCACTACATTTAGGGATTGAGCTTTTGTATTTGTACATCATATTTTATGCTCTGATATGATGTTCAAATTTGGGACCTGTTAAGTAGAGAGGATGACTGAATTTCTAAAGATGATCACTTCTATCTTGTCCTTAATTAAGATCAAAGTGAGAGGTGTGCAAATTTGATTTTGTCTATGTCCGTCGATGTGGTAGCTAAACTAATTTATGTTGTTTAGGCTGTTGTGCTGACGATCAAATTAAATAGTAAACCGAAACTAATATAGTAATGTATTAATGAATATAGTTTCATGGGAACAGTGTGTTTGGACTCGCCGAGATCAAGATATCCGTAAAATAAATGAACTTTAATTAAGGGTAAAACCAGTAGCCAATATCTGGTATCCTGAAAAGTGCATGTTCCAGGAGAATCCCGAAGGCAAAAGCGCGGCTGTTTTAGATTCCATGACTCATATTGTTGAAATTTTGCGAGATTCAATTGAGGTGTTTAACTTGGTATTTTGATGGGAGGAGTACCAAATCCATATACATTTCAGGACATGATATTTACACAATGTTGGGCTTGCAAGGAGCATAATAGAATCCCGATTCAAGGTAGTGTCACGCCCCGTACCCCACGAAGCATGAGCATCCCGCTTATAGGTCGAAATAGTAGCGCGACGCTTCCAGGTTACGTCACCGACCCGAAAACCAAAATCAGAGAAAGCACGCCACATGCAGAAACGACGTATATGTAATAAATATACATATGCACCCAGACAATTTAAAAGCAACCACGAGTGGCAAGAGAAAAATAAATTACGATTGATTAAACCCCCATATACATTATCCGTCTACAAACAAAAAGGTACAACAAAAGGCCACGAACAAAAAGGGATCGGTGACCTAGGGGTGTCAAACTAACTACCGGAGGGGTACGGTCAAAAAGTGTCGACCCTCACTCCTATGCTGATATCTAACCTACGGTACCCAGTCAGGATCAGAACCCGACGACTCCGAAGAACTCTCGAGTCGCTCTTGATCCTCCTCAGAACTCATGGCCTCCAACTCCATCTCTGGCTCAGGGTCTTGTTCTTCGTACTCGTCTACGTCCATAGGCTCAGGGGCTTCTGCGTCCACCTGCTCTGGAGCTGGATCGACTATCTCCGGCTCAAAAGCTAATCCACCAAGCTCCTCGTGCTCTTCCTCTTCTTCCACAATCTCGTACTCAACCTCAGAATCAGGATTGCCCTCCATATCGACATCTACTATATCACCGTCTGGACATTGAATATCTAGCAGACCCTCTCCCACAAACGGAACGTCGGCGGACCTGATGGGACCGAACTCTACTCCAAAACGATCCCGGAAACACCAGGCTAGATACTCGTGAGTCTCAAAGTGAGCTAAGCCTACGTCTACCCATACTAAAGCATAGTGTCTATAGTACTTCTCCCCGTTCCCCACGGGGTGCACGGTCAGCGTACGCTCTATATGGTGGGGAATCCCAAAGCGTAACGGTGCGTTGTCGAAGTTCATGGCGGGAGATCTGAAAAGTCGGTTTTACCACAACCGTGAGAAAACTCAGCAAGTAAAAACCACTAATCCTAAACTAGGCTAATGTGCACCTCCAGAGGGTAAATAAAACACATATATAGATAAATAAACCAGTACAACAATCAATAAGCTCACCCGGGCCCACAGCCCAATTCACTACTTTGTCCTGCAGGTTAGACTTTTAATATAAATATAAAACATATGTGAGTAAATCGACCCGAAGGCCCGACCCGAAGGCCACAATTTCTCCCGACCCGAAGGCCCGACCCGAAGGCCACAATCTCTCTCGACCCGAAGGCCCGACCCGAAGGCCACAATCTCTCTCGACCCGAAGGCCCGACCCGAAGGCCACAATCTCTCTCGACCCGAAGGCCCGACCCGAAGGCCACAATCTCTCTCGACCCGAAGGCCCGACCCGAAGGCCACAATCTCTCTCGACCCGAAGGCCCGACCCGAAGGCCACAATCTCAATCACTTCAAACATGTACACCAATGCGTCCAATATTGATAAATCAACGTCACGAGAGATGAATACAAGCCAAGGCACTCAAGGTTAATCGCCCACACTAATGTACCAAGCATACTCATTCTCGACTTAGACGCATTCAACTCATCCTCAAAACAATCAATTTACTTCCGTTCTCACCCAATCCACCCGACATTGATTCGCACCTTTATTACCATTCAATGTAATGCACCTAAGGCCCGCCTTGGGTAATTCAAACTTAGTCCTCATTCTCATTGGTACGGGGTCACAAGATAGGATTTATATAAGTCCTAAGTAACCTCTAAAAATGCATAATTCCTTGCCATTAACCAATGACTCAACTAAGTATTCAACTTGGATAAATTGCACAAATTCGGTATTCAATGAACAGTACCAGGGGAGGACACATTTTGCCCACTAAACCACAATTAAACACCCTCATTAGGCTCCAATCTCAAGCTCCAATCACCCAACAACCAAATCCACTTAAATAAGGTTCAAACAAGCCTAAATAATCCCCAAAATGTCCACTTCCAAGTCATTAGCACTTGAACTCAATTAGTGAAACACTTAGACAAAATTTCACAAATTCGGTGCCCCATGAACAGTACCAGGAAAATCAACACTTTGGCACTAAACCACCTTTAAACCAACTCATTAGGGCCTAATCACTTACCCTAATCATTCAACCACTAAATATACATAATTAAGCCTCAAATAAGTTTAATTGATCCCTACAATGACCAATCCAAGATCATTATCAATTGAACCCAAATAATTTCACACTTAGACAAATTGCACAAATTCGGTATTCAATGAACAAGTGTCGAACGTAACTCCAATTAGGCCATAATCCACCTCTAACTTACTTCATTAGGCACTAATTAGGCCCCCTAATCACCCCACACCACATTAGGCATATCTAGACCATGATTAGGCTTAATTAACCCCCTAATTACCCTCTAAAATGCACAAATAAACTAATTAAGGGTTTAGGGGTTTATACTCGCCTAGAATCGACTCGAGGCGACGGGAGCGGGCGGTCGATTACCGACACGCGGTGAGAATCGACGGCGGCGCTCCGGTGGCAAGCCGGCGGTCACGGCGGCGCCGGTGTGATTCACGGCCACACTCCCAACCGGAACGGGGAGGCTGCTGGGCGTACGGGCCGAGGATGGTGGAGAGAGAGACGGTGAGGTGAGGTGGTCGACGAGGCGGCACACGGCGGTGGACGGCGGCGCGGTGCCGGCGAGGTGAAGACCGGCGGTGTTTCTCTCCCTCCCTCGCCTGGAACAGCTGCTGTGGGGCGGACAATGCAGAGGGTGGGGCTGGTCGACGGGGGTTGGGGCAGTGCCAGGGGGTGCTGTGCGGCGGCCAGAGGACAGCAGCCCCGGCGGCGCGGCTGTTCCGGCGTGAACAGTGGCCGGCGGAGCAGAACGACCGAGGAGTGGCGTGAAGAAGACGATCGTGAGGCCGCTCGGGAGAGAGAGAGAGAACGTGAGCTGAGAGGTCTGAGGAGAGAGAAGAAACAAGTCAAAAGTGGTCAAACTTGGGTGAGTGGAATCCAAGTGTCAACAATCCAAGGATTTGGACAATTTGCCCTTGAATCCAATGGCTTAGGTTCACTTCTCTCCAATAATTCAAGGGTGAGAAGGTCAAATGCCCCTAACCAAGGCTGACCAGGTCTGGTTTGGTCCACTTAACCTTAGTTAGTCCCCAAATTTTATCCAAATTTCGGAATAAGTTAAAATGGCCTAGGGGCATTTTCGTAATTTTCCGATCCCGGACCGAAATTTCAATTTTTGTCCATACCGGTCCTATATGTTCATGGGAGACTTAATACGGTGTCGGATTCGCGAAATTCACTTTCTACGCCTTCGAAAATCGCCTGCGAAGTCCCGGGAATAAAATAATATTATTTTTCCAATTTTTGCCGAAATTCCCGTTTTTGTCCAAAACCACTCTAAATGTACGTGGCCACTCCAAAATGACCTTGGCCGCGAAAAATAACCTCAAACGGCCTCCGAATCCCGCCCCCGTGCCCACGGGGGCAAAACCGTAATTTTCCCAATTTTTGTCGAAATTCCTATTTTCAGCCGATCTTGTCCCAAACTTACTTGGCCACTATAAAATGACGTCCGTCCTATAAAATAGTCATAATTACCCTTGAAATTTTGATATCGGAGTTCG